GGGGAGGAGCCAAGCATTCCTACCTGGATATAATCTGAGATTTTGGAACACCAGAGCAGTCTTTTCCCACTGGATTCCCAGAGGAGTAGCTGTCTTCTGCACTGGATTCCCAGAGGAAGACCAGGTCCATCTACACCACCATTGGACCTTCAGAGGAAACTTACACCCTTCTACAGGATCACTGCTTCAACAGAACCACACCTGTCACTCCAGGAGGACTGCATACACCATTTAATTGGACTGCTACCAACACCCTGACCCACAGGGTGTCAGGTCATATTCTGACTGTCAGTGTTTTGGAGTTTTTTTTGTTTGTACTATTGCATTTGTATTTTCTAGTTTTCCTAGTAAAGAACTGTTATTCCTATTCCCATATCTTTGCCTGAGAGCCTTTTAAATTCAAAATTATAACAATTCAGAGGGAGGGGGTTTACATTTTCCATTTCAGGGGAGGCTCCTACCTTCCTTAAGCAGACATCTGTCTTTTCAAACCAAGACAGGAAACTACATGCCTGTTAGTCTCACTTAGGTGCCTAGTAAAGTTATGGAGAAGATTATTCTGGAAGGTATTGAAAAACACCTGAAAGACGATGCAGTCATCAGTCAGCCAGCACAGCTTTATGAGAGGAAAGTCCTCCTTGTAAAACCTGATTTCCTTTTATGATGAGGTAATCCAGATAGGTGATCAAGGGAAGCCACTTGATGTAATCTTTTTGGAGTTCAGCCCAGCTTTTGATAGTGTCTCCCACAAGATCCTTCTGGACAAAATGTCCAGCCCACAGCTGGATAAACACATCATGCAATGGGTGAACAACTGGCTCATGGGTCGGGCACAAAGGCTTATAGTGAATGGGATGACATCACACTGATGACCTGCATCTAGTGGGGTTCTGCAGGGTTCCATCCTCCTCCCTGTGCTCTTCAACATCTGCATAAATTACTTGGATGCAGGAGGGGAAGGTATACTAAACAAGTTTGTAGATGATACAAAACTGGAGGAGGTCTCGACTCCCTCGAAGCCAGAGAGACCTTGACAAATTAGAGGACTGGGCAATCACCAACCATATGAAGTTCAACAAGGGGAAGTGCCAGATTCTGCACCTGGGATGGGGCAACCCTGGATGTACAGACAGACTGATGAATGAGATGCTGGAAAGCAGTGCCGTGGAAAGGGACCTGGGGGTCCTGGTTGATGGAAAGTTTATCATGAATCAGCTGTATGCCCTGGCAGCCAGGAGAGCCTACCATGTCCTGAGGTGCATTAGGCACAACAGTGCCAGACAGTCAAAGGAGGTGATTGTCCCACTCTGCTCTGCACTGGTGCGGCCTTACCTTAAATACTGTGTGCAGTTTTGAGCACCACAATATAAGAAAGATATTAAGCTATTAGAGAGTGTCCAGAGGAGGGCAGCAAAGATGGTGAAGGGCCTTGAGGGGAAGCTGTGTGAGGAGCAGCTGAGGTCTCTTGGTCTGTTCAGCCAGGATAAGAGGAGACTAAGGAGGGACCTCATTGCAGTCTCCAACTTCCTTGTGAGGGAAAGAGGAGGGGCAGGCACTGATCTCTGTGGTGACCAGTGACAGGACCCAAGGGAAGGGCCTGAAGCTGTGTCAGGGGAGGTTTAGGTTGGATATGAGAAAAAGGTTCCTCACCCAGAGAGTGGTTGGGCCTTAGAAAGAACAGGCTCCCCAAGGAAGTGGTCATACCACCAAGCCTTACAGAGTTCACTAAGTATTTGGACAATACTCTCAGGCACATGGTATGACTCTTGGGGATGGTCCTGTGCAGGGCCAGGAGTTGGACTCAATGATCCTTGTTGGTCCTGTTCAACTCATCATATCCTGTAATTCTGGGAATGCAGCGTCACACAAGTAGGAAAGTTGCATGACCTTTCAAATTAAGAAAGAATGAGAAAAAGTGTTCTGTAGCATAAATTCAGCCTATACTTTGTCAAGAACTCAAAGTGTCTATCTGATTCAATGTGATTGATGGAGAGGGGGTAAAATTGATACATGTTAACAGAAAAAGCAAACACAGTTGTCAGATGATTTTAAAGGAGAAAAATATTTCCCAGCTTGAGTTATCAGAAAGGAGAAGGAAACATTCATGATTCTTAGATTCTCTTTGCTCTGAATATCTTTTTAAAAGAGAATTATTGCATGTAAGTTAAAACTTTTTTAGTTTTTAAATAAAATTAGAAATATTCATAAAACTAAATAATAAAGATTGCTCCTAATGACTCAAGCTATAGTATTAAGCCCTTTATATAATGTAAAAACACGATAGATTTATGAAGACTGTAAGATAAAATTTATACAAATATACAGTTATATACCAAAATTCTCAAATATTTACTAAGCATGATTCATAACTGTGGCAGAAGTCTTAGTTCAGAAATGTAGTGTTTAAAAAATGTAATGCAGCTTAATGCATGCTTTTGTTTGTTTGTTTTTCTTACATGTAGCTCTTTTATCCTGTTCCCCACCTCCCAAGCATTAACCTCTGTGGTCTAGTACATACATGAGAATCTTTATATCCATTAAAATAAACAAGTAACTATATGAGTCAAGCTTTCCCCCCATACACATTTCAGAAGAAAATCTGACCAAAAGTATCCTAAACCCTGCAGAATAAGGATATAAACAGAAATAAAAAGTAAAATGAAAGATTTCTGCATGCTAGAGAACAGCAAAATTATATTAAACATGTTAGAATAAGAAATGCTGGTGTTTTATATATATATTTAAACTTTTGTTTAAAATTATTATTATGTTAACCACAGTTCATTGTGATAAAAATATTAAGAAGACATCTGATCTTGCTTTTAAAATTTCTATTTTTCCATCAAAAATTTACATCAAAACCTTCAAATTTGGCAGTTTTTGCACAGAACATTGTGTAGGTAGCAGTTGGTTCATGGATTCCCAATTTTTTCAATGAAATTTTCTTATTTTTCTGTTGGATAAACACCTCTTTTCTGAAAAGTATATTAGTATATCTGATTTTGCACAGGAAACAGACAGTACTAAGTTTTTTACCTTGTAAATATCACACAGTCATGCTAGCTCCCTACTCTCTGCGTTTCATCTATTTAGAATGCCTGGGATTTAGAAATTTATTTTACCGAAATCTTTGCACCCCTGAATTGATTTAGGGGATGAACAAAGATCTTCAAAACTACTTTATAGAGATACTGTTGGGATGGAATAAATAAAGCAGATTCCCACTATTTTCATTAGTATCCAGTGAAAGGACAAAAAGCAATGGGAACAAATTGAATTGCAGGAAATTCTGCTTAAACATAAGGAAATTCTTGGGTTTTTTTACTCTAGGGCTGGTTGAGCACTGATACAGTTTGCCCAGTAAGTTTGTGGAGTCTCCACCTTTAGAAAAGTTCAAAACCCAACTGTACATGGGCTTGGGCAACCTGTTCTAGCTGACACTGCTTTGTGCTGCAAGTGTGTGTGTGTGGACTAGACAATTGCCAGAGGTGCTTTTCAACTAAATGACATTTTCTCTTTTTCAGTTTGTGCCCATTGCTCATTGTCCTGTTACTGGGCACTGCTGAGAAGAGTCTGGCTTTGTCTTTACTCCCTCCCATCAGGTATTTATACACATTGATAAGATACCTGTGCTGCAGGATTACTGATTTCTATCTCAGCCACACCCACACCTGTGACTGGTATGGCCCATTGACCTAGACCCCAAATTATGGATTTGCTTTCTGTCTTGATCTTGGACCTGTCTTGCCCCTAGGGACCTACCCAATGATCAGTGGACTGTGTCTGACCCTGGTTGTCCTCACCAGACCTGAGTCTGATTTGTGGACTGACTTCCTGGCTGGACCTTGCACGTGTGTCATCACCACAAATTTGTCTGATGATCTGGACTCTCGGTTGAATCTGACTCCCATCTCCAGATCTGCCCTGCTTACTTCACTTGGATACTGCAGGACTAGGCCTAGGCTGGTGAGGTCTCTGCTGTGTATACCATGGTACTCAACTCCCAACTTCCCATTCCTTAAGGAGAAGACAGCCCTTGCTGCTCCCTGACAGGAAGACAGTTTTGAAAGCCTTGCTAAAGTCAATATAGACATAATCCACTGCTCACTCTTCATCCACGGAGCCATTCACCTAATTTTAGAAGACTATTGGGTTGGTCAAGCATGATTTCCCCTTTGTAAATACATGCTGACAACTCCCAATAATCTTCTTGTCCTTCATAGGTAGGCTTTGACTTTCCTAACATCATCCCTGCACAGTCAGAAAGTCTATACAGAGTCTATAGACAGACTCTATATTCCTCTTGGGTTCCCTGGCATTGCTTCCACCTCTTGTATACTTTCTTTATATGTTCGAGCTTTGTCAGGAGCTCCTTGTTCATCCATGCAGGCCTCGTTCTACCTTTGCTTGACATCCTGTATGTTGGGATGGACCATTCTTAAACTTCAAGGTGATCCTTGAAAAATAAACCAGCTCTTCTGGACCCCTTTGCCCTGTAGGACTGTCTCCCATAGGATTATTCCAAGCAGAGCCCAGAAGAGGCCGAAGTCTTCTCTGCTCAAGTCCAGGAGTTTGATGCATCAGTTCTTGCCAGGAGGAGGACATCAACACAAAGCTGAACCTAATCACAAGTTCTTCTATAATTTTTTATATGTGCTGAATAAAGACATGAAAATGAACAGCAGGATTTGAAACTCAAAGCTCCTATTACTTTTTCCCCCCATCTTTTGATCAAATAACCCAAAACCACCAAGAAGTGTCTGTTCTGAAGAATTGAATAATATCTTACTTTTTAAATCAATTTTTCAAATTTATGAGTTTTTAGAAATGTCTACTGATATCAGACTCCAGTGATATCAGCTGCTGAACTGACAAACCTTTATTTTTTCCAAGAGAAGTTTAAAAATTTCCATTAGAGATTCAACTTTGCCACATAAATGCAGACAAGTAAGGTTCCAAGAACTAGAAATATGAAAAGGTAGTTTCATATAACACTATACCTCTGTTTCTGCTGCATGGGTTGCTGTCTCATAGCCATATATTGCATGTCCTCTTGTAACCGATTAAGGGGAGAATCTGGTTTGACACGAATCCCATAATAATGGTATTTAGAGTTCCCCCTTCATGAAAGAACAAAAATAACATTGTTTCTTTAGTATATACATCACACATTAACATTTGCCTTGACTGGAAAACAGTACATAAATTTAGGCTTGTCTTTCACTCTGGTATAAAACTGATATAACTCCACCAGCTTCTGAAAATCAGTTCACTTAAACTATATTTTCTGGCACTTTACTGTTGGGCTTCATTTAAATAGAATAAGGTAAATAAAAAATCAACTAAATTACTTATGCAGTCATGGTGAATAAAACAATTCCATAAATGGGGTATGCTTGTGAGTGAGGGTTTGTGAATGTTTCACTAATCAACTTCAGTCCTGGTCAACTGGAAAGAAAGAACAGAATTGGGCTGTCTGTGTTCATGTTTATGAGTGTCTATATGGGTGCTGGTCAAGACATTGCCCTGTGTTAGCTTCTGTGGTTAGCTGTGTTAGTGTCATGTGTGTGTTTGTCTGCATCTTTGGAACACATGTTCAGTCTCACTGCTATCTGGAGCGGCAAATGGAAACAGCAGTAACTGCATTGATTGGACTGAGATGGAAGATATCTGGGTCATAAGAGTACACAGAATCTGGCTATAGCAGACCAGGAGTCCCCTGAGTCCTGAAGTCTGCTGGATTTGGCAACTCCCTTAACAGAAAGGTTTTAAATATTTTTATTTGCTTATTTCCTTGCTTGATTTTAACATATGAGCTTCATGCTTATGATTATTATTGATATTTTTCTGTTAAACTTGAAGATTTTATTAACACAAACCTGGTTCCCAGTCTTCTGGTCCGTAATCCCATGAAGATTGACCGTATGAGTTTTCCAAAGGAGGCAGCATTGACTGGATCTAACTTGTGCTCCTGACAATGACGTAAGTAATGGTTGTAAAGGGTACTTCTGGGGAGACTCACTCCTTCTGCAGTTTCATAGTTGTCTAAAAGCCATTGGAGCTATGTCAAATATGAAAGAGTGAACATATATAAATTCATTATTACTCTACTGAAAACCCCCACTTAATTGTACAACATAGAACTGATATTTTTTAGACCACTCAAGGCCTGTTTAATACAGTGACTGCTATTTGAGCAAATATAATCTCTTTAAATCTCTTTCAATGCTAGATATGCCATGATGCCTTAGTTATGGAATTTTTTTTTTTAGGTTTACAAGGAAATAACAAGACTCATGGTACCTGTGAGCTCAGATATCTCCACTTCTAAAAATATTTCAGATTCAGTACCATACATTAACATTTTATGAAGTTATTTGTGATTTCGAGAAAAATTGCTAGAACTCCAAAGAAATAAAATAACCAATGTAATTTATACTTATTGCATTTAAAAAAAACCCCTAATAGAACTAAGTTAATACATTTTTAATTCTGGAATGATATACTATTTCTCTTCACATGGAATTAAAAAAAAATACAAATAAAAAACCCCAGTACTACATTTAACTGAATAGGGTTTATTGTCTTTCAAATACAAAGAAGAAACGATCAAATATAAGGTAAAAAGCAATCTAGATTATATGAAAAATAACTTGTATAGCTATAAAGCATCATGGGCTCAATCCCTTTCTGTTGTAGCCTGTTTGCTTCTAAGAGGAACAAAATCAACTTTTTTTTTCCTGTGTAATCTATTGCAGAATTTTGGTGAGTAATTTTGGAAGCATTTAGGCAAACAGTTTCTAATACATGACTGTACCTCTGTATATAACAAATAGTAACTAACATAGCTTCACAGAATATTCTGAGTTGGAAGGGACCCACAAGGATCAAGTTCAACTCTTAAGTAAATGGCCCATACAGGGATTGAACCCACAACTTTGCTGTAATTGGCACCATGCTCTAACCAACTGAGATAATCTCAGGGTCATGCACACTAAACTCAAGTAAAATGGTCATTTACCAGTATAAGAAAACAAAAAAATAAAAAGGAAATATTTTTATAGTTTTTATTTATCAGCAGTCCTGACTAATGGGGGAGGTTCTACTTGACTAGAAGTTAGCAAACCTATAAGGAGGGCCAGAAGGAGGATCCAGGGAACTACAGGCCTGTCAGTCTGACTTCAGTGCCAGGGAACATTATGGAGCAGATCATCCTGAGTGCCATCTCATGGTACGTACAGGACACCCAGGGGATCAGGCCCAGTCAGAACTGGTTTAGGAAAGGCAAGTCTTGCTTGACTAACTTGGTCTCCTTCTATGACAAGGTGACACACTCAGTGGATGAAGGAAAGGCTGTGGATGTTGTCTACTTGAACCTTAGTAAGGCCTTTGACGGTGTCTCCCAGTGCATTCTCCTGAAGAAGCTGGCTGCTTATGGCTTGGACAGGCATACTGTTTGCTAGGTAAAAATATGGATGGATGGATGGATGGATGGATGGATGGATGGATGGATGGATGGGCAGGCCAAAAGAGTGGTGGTGAATGGAATTGCATCCATTTGGTGGCTTGGTGCTTCCCAGGGCTCAGTATTGGGGTCAGTTCTGATTAATATCTTTATCAATGATCTGGACAAGGGGATGGAGTGCACCCTCAGTAAGTTTGCAGATGACACCAAGTTGGGTGGGAGTGTTAATCTGCTGGAGGGTAGGAAGGCTCTGCAGAGCTTGCATGAGGCTAAACAAGGTGAAGTGCATGGTCCTGTACTTGGGTCACAACAACCCCATGCAGCACTACAGGCTTGGGTAAGAGTGTCTCGAAAACTGCTGGTCAAAAAAGGATCTGTGTGTGCTGGTTGACAGCTGACTGAACAAGCCAGTGTGTGCTCACTTGGCCAAAAAGGCTGATGGCATCCTGGCTTGTATCAGCAATAATTTGGCCAGCAGGGCTAGGGGAGTGATTGTGACCGTGTTTACAGGGGTCTTAGGATGAGGGAAGAGACGAGGATTTGACTCCATGTTCCAGAAGGCTTGATTTATTATTTTATGATATATATTATATTAAAACTATACTAAAAGAATAGAAGAAAATATTTCATCAGAAGGCTAGCTAAGAATAGGAAAAGAAAGAATGATAACAAAAGCTTGTGGCTCGGACTCTCTGTCCGAGCCAGCTGGGCTGTGATTGGCCATTAATTAGAAACAACCAACATGGGCCAATCAAAGATCCACCTGTTGCATTCCACAGCAGCAGATAACAATTGTTTACATTTTGTTCCTGAGGCCTCTCAGCTTCTCAGGAGGAAAAATCCTAAGGAAAGGATTTTTCATAAAAGATGTCTGTGACAAGTGATTGCCCCCCTGTACTCAGCAACTGTGAGGCCAAACCTCTAATCCTGTGTTCAGTTTTGGGCCACTCATTACAAGAAAGACACTGAGGAGCTAGAGTGTGTCTGAAGAAGAGCAATGAAGCTGGTGAAGGGTCTGGAGCACAAGTCCTATGAGGAGCAGCTGTAGAAACTAGGGTTGTTTAGCATGGAGAAAAGGAGGCTCAGAGGGGACCTTATCACTCTTTCTACAACTACCTGAAAGGAGCTTGTAGTGATGTAGGTGTCAGTCTCTTCTCATAAGTAACAAGCAGTAGGACAAAAGTAAATGGAAATACAGGAAAAATTTTTTCAATGAAAGGATTGTCAAGCATTGGAACAGGCTGCCCAATGAAGTGGTTGAGTCACAACCCTGGACGTGTTTAAAAGACATGTAGCTCTGGCATTTAGGAACATGGCTTAGTGGTGGACTTGGCAGTGTTATCAGTTGGACTCGATGATCTTAGAGGTCTTTTCCAACCTAAATGATCCTATGATTCTATATGTAACTTATGGGATTTCAGATTTTTGAGGATACAATAATTTTATTTAGCTTAACCCTTCTTTCTGCCATGGTTTCATATCCTTGGAATTTCCCTTTAATTTCCACTTGAATTTCCAAATTTTGTTTTTGTCTTGTATTTACTAATTAGTTAAGAAAGTAATTATGCCAAAATGAATTAGAATGAAAATCCAAATTTTCCAGGTTCACAAATCTTACAAAAAGTCTGGACTTAGTTTGAGCATCCAATAAATCCCCAAACTATGGATTTGGGTTTGGCATTTGGAACAAAGTTTTATTCCAATATGCTGGACCCTCACACGATTGTTTAATTAATTTCACTTTAGACCACCAAAGTAATTAATATGACCAAGATATGTGTTTAAAGTACAGTAAAATAGATAATTATGTGACATTGAATATGCTACTCTGCAGGGCTACTTACTAATAGATCACTGAACTAATTCTGTTCTAGTAATGTTCCATATAACTTGTCATTTACAGAACAAGAATATCAATATTTTAGTGCCCATTATTCTTGAAATAATTTTCCATTCTGACCCTTCTTTATTGCAGAACTATTAGTAAAAATTAGATTATAATGAATATATTGGACATACAGTCCTGTTTAAGTCAGTTGTGAGCAATTTACTGAACATAATACATGAAAAATGAAAAAAAATTAGGAAAACATTTACTCAAGACCTTCCAAAGAACATCTTCATGTTTACTTTCTTATAGAAAACATTACCAGAACTATCATGCTTAGGTTTCTAAACAACAGCTCTGTGTAAAGATGTAGGAGAAGCATGATCTAGCTGTTTGCAAAATGGATGTAGATAATGTTTCACTTTAAATAAACATTAAAAAGTGCAGTTCATCATCCTTATATCAACTTTTAGGTATAAATGCAGTCCTAACATTCACAATGTTTTATCAACTTGAAACAAAGCCTAGGAAAAATATTTTAAACTTTTACCTTTAAATGAGTGTATTATCAAAACCATTTCACTGTATCTTAATTATAGCCTTCAAACTTATCATTTAAGCTATACCAATTAGTTTATGGAATATGAGCAATTTGTTTTATCTCACAAAGAAAAAAATTACTGACAAAACCCCCAAATTATTTCCAATTTAACTTCTAAATATAGTATTAATTTTTTTTCTAGATTAATTATAATTTATTAGGATTCATTTCAGTGCATTTTACTAATGATCTATATTTGACAGATATTCTTTCAACCACAGCTTGGCATTAGCCAACAATGGGAAAGCAAAACCCAAGATAAGTACAAAGTAAGGATATTTGCTCCAGGGTGAAAATATTTCAATAAAAAAAGGTTGACATGATTATTTGGCAGGTTACAGCCTTCAAAGAAGAATGTCAATAGCTGAATGCCATGTAAAAAAGTAAATAATCTGCAGACATGAAAACATTATTTCAAACAGCCTTAAATACATTTTTGTATTTATAGAAATCTAATTCTAAAATTGAAATGTTTACACTTTGGCTTGTTGATTTATAATATTAACAACATTAGAATGGTATGAAATGGTTTATGCAGAATGGGTAAATTGACTACAACTTCAATGGAACTCCAGTATTTAAAAATCATTAGATTAAAAATTAGTCAACTCAATCACATACAGAAAGAAATCAGGAAAGAAAATAAAATAATTTTTTTAAAAATCATTAAAATAAACAGATATTGTAGCAGCATGGGGTTTAGATAGTGGTTGCTGCTACCTATATTCCCCAGTAAGCATCTCCTGTGGAAAAGCCGCTTGGGTAAGCATTCAGGCAAAGCAGTCAAGTACACACACACCACAACAAGCTCAGCGAAGAGAGGCAGAAGGGCCTTTTATATGGCCAGTTCCAGTGAGGTTTATTTCAGCACACCAAAGGGAAACCAGAGACAAAAAATGAGCCATGTGCTATGCACAAGGTTTAAGTAGGGGAGGGCATGGGGGCGGTACAATGGGCAGGGCAAAGGTGATTGGCTTTTAGGGAAGATGGGGCCGGCCACCAGGGATGCCACAACCAATGAGGAAACAGGGAAAGGAGAAACCAGGGGAAATTGGGACATATGGGGAAAGGAACTGGGATGGATCACTGTTAAGCAAGAGTCCATGAGGAAGACCTTTCTGTCTGCCCAGGTGGGGAAAGACTCTATGGTAAGTCTCTCCAAGGGAGGGCTCTGAGGATTTCCCTGAGGGGGAAGGAATCAGATGATTCCACAAGGTATTAATTAAGGCAACAAAATGCCAGCTTAAGGAAGAAGATAGGACTAAAACCATATTTACTGTCCTTATTTGAGTTGCAACTCAATAAAAGTTTCTAAGAAAGGGAAAATATCCAGTATTTAATCTGGGCTTCATTAATTTCTTCCAAAATGACTGAGACTAGGAAAGAACATTTATTACACCAAGACACCTGGAGGTCTTTTTTTCCCACAGAATCCACAATAGATCCTCTATTTGTCTTTCAGTAGTTTTGAAAATACCTCAGAATATTTAAGAAACATCAGAATAAGACTACCATAACAGACAGATGCAAATCTCCTTATTGGAAACATATTTTCATAAAATCAAAGAATAGTTTGGGTTGGAAGGGACCTTTAAAGGTTGTGAAGTTCAATTCCCCTTCAGTGATTAGGGACATTTTCAACTGGATCAGGTTGCACAGAGGCCCATCCAACCTGACCATGAACACTTCCAGGGACGGGGCAGCCATAACTTCTCTGTGCAACCTGATTGTTTCAATGTCTCACCATCCTCATTGTAAAGAACTTCCTTCCTTATGTTCAGTTTAAATCTATTCTCTTCTAGTTTAAAACCATTGCTCTTTTTGCTGTCACTACAGGCCCTGGTAAAAAGTCTCTCCATCTTTCTCATAAGCCCCCTTCAAGTACAGAAAGGCTGCAATAAGGTCTCCATGGAGCCTTCTCCAGGCTGAAAAACCTCAACTCTCTCTGCCTTTCTTCATAGGAGAGGTGTTCCAGCCCTCTGATCATTTTAGTGGCCCTACTTAGACCCACTCTATCCCACTATCTAAGCTGTTGATGAAGTTATTAAATGGCAGTGGTCCTAGTACAGTCCCTTGAGGGATACAGCTCATTACTGATCCTTGTTTGGACATTGAGCTGTTTGCTGTAATGCTTTGGATGCAGCCATCCAGCCAGTTTCTTATCCATCTAAGAGTCTACACATCAAACCTATCTCTCTCAAATTTAGCAGCAAGAATGGTGTAGGGGGCGATATTGAAGGCCTTGCAGATGTCTAGATAGGTGACATCCATATCTCTCCCTTTGTCCACCAAATCAGTTGCTCCATTGTGCAAAGCCACTAGATTAGTTAGGCATTATTTGTCCTTGCATGTTTCTAGGTTGTCTTAACATGATCTAAATCTCTTTCTTCACACTTTACAGAATTCAATTTCCTTTACCAAATTTTAGCATTTTCTAAGAAAACTAAATTCTCTTCCAAGAAATTGTACTGGCTGTCTTTTTCTACCATGATGATAAACTTTTACAAAATATTTTTGGTATTCATCTCCATATTACCACATTCTTGGGGGGGAAATGTCAACAAATCAAAATAAGTGTATAGACTACCCAATATACTCATACATTCATATTACAATCAATATTTTCTGTGGTAAAGAAATACAAGAATCTGAAAAAATATGTAGGTTTATGTTTGTTAGTAAGGCTGAGAAGCAAAAAGGATGCAGTATGTATAGCAATTTAGCAGCAATTAAAAATACAAAACTATTTATACTAGCTAAAGAAAAACCATTTTGTTTACACAACATTTCAAGAAAGACTAGCACTATTTAAAAACAAACTGAAAATTAAATTTTGAGCCTTACTCCTTTACCTAAAAGTTATATTTAATGGCTTTGCTACTATATTTGCAACCATCTTCTTATGCGAACATCTTCACCCTTTTATTATGGAAAATTGCTAACTACAGGATTTGTAAAGACAGAACAAAGCAAAAGGCAGAAGAAGCAAACATATTAGACACTAACAGATTGTTTTAATTTTTAAATCTCATGAGATGGATCTACAGAATTGTTATACTAAACTTATTCAGAATAATAGAAATATTTGAAAAGAAATCTAAAGTATATTTTTATCCAAACTGTGTGCAATACTTCTTTCCCCCTTTACCTGCTCTTGAATTATTATATCAAGTACACAAATTATAGAAAATTATTTTTGAATGTCAAACACAGACTACCTAAGGTTTATTTGGTTATTATTTTTACATTTACATTGGGACCTGCAAAATAGACAAATCTGTTAAGTTGCGTTAACACAATACAGAACCTAGAAAAGAAATGCACTCTACCAGTGTGTCATGACACTTTGCCTGACAAAATATAGTGACATAAGATGTAGATTACAAGCAACTAAAATGGAAAGATTACAAGTAAATATAGCAATAAATTAAAACAAACATTTAGAGGCAGGCTAAGCATGCAGAACAAGATAGAGATTAGCTTTCATGAAAGAAGAGACAACTTACATGGCTGTTGAGAAGAGAGCTTCTGTGAGTAGAAAGACCATCAGATTTTTGAAGTGTCTCAATCGCCATCTCAATCTGATAATAGATGTCATTAGAAAATGACTCAAGACAGTATAAAAGACTAATCAGAAAAATTCTGATAGGTTCCCTTAAGTTTTACAGAAATATCTAGTTGGGTCAGAGCTAAGGGATATTTTCTACTTTAAGGCCTCATCCTTAAGTCCTCATGAAGGCAAACCTCCTAGTGATGTCAGAGTGGCATTTTGCTTGCATATATACTGCAGGATCCCACTTTCAAAGTCCAATTTACCTTCCTTCCTACTCATGAAATAAGAGAAGTAGATTTACTAGTAAGCTACATTGCAAACAGTAAAAATTACTGAACAATCAGTGTTTTGAATAGAAAAAAAACCCAGAATAAAATCCTTAGAAATGAAAAAAACCCAGAATAAAATCCTTAGAAATGCCTGTGTTTCTTCCTCTAAGTATTTGAGAAAGAACTGTGCACACTTTGAGTGTGAATAAGAAGCAAAATTTCTGCTCTCTGCAACCATAGAGTAAAATCTCAGTCATTCAGTGGGTTTTCTGCCATTAGCTTCATTGTACAGGCTATCACCCCCTACAGCCTGTTAGAGCATTCTTTGAATATCCAGAGCTCTCAAAGTAAACAAAAATTGGAGGCTTACACAGACAGCAAGATCCATCCTTAAAAGAAAATAAAAAATCAGATGGGTTCAAAATAATACTTTTAATGGAAAAAGTATTATAAACCACTAATTATACAGTAGCATTACTCCTAATACAAATGAGTAAAGACAACCATAACCATTCCTATTCTTCCCTTCCATATTAATGCCTCTTATTAATTCAATGACAACAATAAAAATAAAATTACAATCTAACTGTAGTTTAGATGCAGAGCTAAAATAGCAAAAACATTGAAAGTCATTGAGACAATGGGATGTACAGTAAAAGAAGGCACATAATGACCCACATTAAATGGAAAAGACAGAAAAGCAATGGAACAGTATCTGTACATTTAAAACCACTTATATCTATTGTTGACAGTTTTAAAATAAATCTTCCTTACACTTCTTTAATTATTACACTATTATCCAAAGAGTTTATACTGGTAAATTGCATTATTGAGTTCACTCAATATACAGCACAAAACTGAAAAATATTTTAGATTATATTTCACTTAGTGCATAAATAAAATGTGGTTTCCCCTTTTTATAAACGAATCAAATAGTATTCTTACTGTCGGAACTCTCAATGAAAAAGGAAGTCTTTCTTACAACTATTTACTATTAGAAATATGTCTTGATAAAAGCATACTAGATCTGATGAGTATGCAAGAAATATTGCAAAAATAATGTTTGAACGCAGATTTTTTTTCTTGCATCAGTAGTAAATACTATTAAGTCAAACTATTCAATCAGACAGAAAAGGTCAAATTTAAAAGGATGCTGTATATTAAAAATTAGAAGTTTAAGATTTCATCATACTAAGATCAGCTCACTATATAGTGCAACCATAGACTCTCCCATTTTAACATGATATTATAACATCATGCAAAATTTAAATTATAATTCTGAATCTCACTCCACTCTGACAATACCTTTTCTACAGCAGTACTACAGGGCTGAAGTCCTGCCTCCTGCTGCTCGTTCCACCTATTACACTACTCTCTCACTTCACTGAGACAAGTTTTTGTGACCTGTTCAAAGAACCAATTTTTTAAAATCATAAATTATGAAGATATATATATATATATATATTCATAGAATCATAGAATGGTTTAGGTTGGAAGGGACCTTAAGAATCATCCAGTTCCAACCCCTCCACCATGAGCAGGGACACATTCCATTAGACAAGGTTGCTGAGACCCCCATCCAACCTTGCCTTGAATGCTTCCAGGGATGGAATAGCCACAACTTCTCTGGGAAACCTGTGCCAGGGCCTCACCACTCTCACAGTAAAGAATTCTTCCTAATATCTAATCTAAACCTACTCTCAGTCTGAAGTCATTCCCCCTTATCCTGTCACTACATGCTCTTGTAAAATGTCCTTCTCAGGCTTTCCTGTTGGCTCCCTTCAGGTACTAGAAGGCCACAATAAGATCTCCCCAAAGCCTTCTCTTCTCCAGGCTGAACAACCCCCACCTCTCTCAGCCTTTCTTCAGAGGAGAGGTCCTTCAGCCCTCAGATCAATCTTGGTGGCCTCAAGGGCAGGTCTCACCAGAGTGAAGTAAAGGGGCAGAATCACCTCCCTTACCCTGCTGACCATGCTGCTTCTGTTGAACCCCAGGGTACCATCGGCTTTCTGGGCTGCAAGCACACATTGCGAGCTGAGCTCATGTCCAGTCTCTCATCCACCAGCACCTCCAAGTCCTTCTCAGCAGGGCTGTTCTCGATTAGTTCATTCCCCTGACCAGCACCTTGCACTTGGCCTTGTTAAAACTTAAGAGGTTCTCATGGGCCCAGAATTTAAGCTTGTCCAGGTCTGTCTGGATGGCATCCCATCTTTCAGGTGTGTCAACTGCACCACTCATCTTGGTGTTGCCAGCATACCCATGGCCACAGATCCATAGATTTTAAATCCAGAGATCTTAATGATTGCTATGATCAGCTTGTCTTATTTTTTTTAATAATGTAGGTCAAGAAGTGTTCATTGCCTTTAAAATTCACCTTTAATTCACCTTTCATTAATCTCATGAAGTATTACTGAACTAGAGCAGGTCTTCCAGAAAGACTTTTGATCTATATTTGAAATTATAAGTATTTTTCCTATTCTAGAGTAACTTGTTCCAAAAGTAATTGTAATATATAATGTAAAATAATTCATGCTTAAGGGGAAATGTATAACATAAAATTTGTAAAATGAATTTAACATCCAATGAGCCTCTGACCAAAAACAACCTGGAGACAGATTACTACACTGGAATTCCGAAACTCCTGGTGGCAGCAGGAGAACAATGCCTCATTAACTAATAAAACAACTTGGCGGGCACAGAGATGGGTTTCCTCCAGAACCATCAGGGAACACCCAAGGACGATCAGCACTTGATAGATATCATCAGTCAAGATAACCGAAGTCATGGAGAAACATACATCTGAATACACGACTTCCCCTGACATGATCAGCGCCCACCCGCCACTACCCAGGAAACAGCAATTGTCCAACCCTGCACAGTGAAAGAAAACTTCATACATATGCAGGGTTACAAAAGAGATCGGGGCACATCTGCCTCAGGCATAAAAAACTGTATAAAACAGCCCCACTGGAGACGGCATGGGTGAACAGAGGGATATCCGATGCGATAGAGGTCGGATCCAGGTTCACCCAGTGCCAATCCCGGGCTCAACACTGTCTCTTTGACTGTGGTTTTTGAGGACCGTATTTTGGTAATGAAAAAAAAATCTTTCGCATTTATTAATTTGGCTTTCTTGTTGATAATTTATAACAGTAATTATTTTCATTATTAAACATTTTGTGCAGTATTCCTTGTCTAAATTTTGATGAGTTGCCTTTTAAGCTTTACCTGTATTGTGGGTTTGGTTTTTTCTGTGAATTTTCTCCCATTTGTTACCTGAAAAGGGGGACGCTGAGAGGAAAGGGGAGAATGAATGATGGGCAATTAAGGTACAAAAGAACTGGCCAACGACTGTTGCATTTCAGTGAAAGCTTCTGGGGAGGGAGGGCCGGAATTGGGAATTGGGCACTGGCTTGCTGAGGGGGGAGCCAGCTGGCTGGGCTGAGATCAGGTCAGTGTAGGTGGTTTTTGGTGCTGGACCCTTGCTGCTGGGGAATTCTTGCCCCCCCCATGGGTGAGCTCGCTGCTTGCAGTAGCTGCCAGTTGATGGGGACTTTTCAGGACTCGCCATTGCTGGGAAGACCCATGCCTATGTGCATGGGTGCTTCAGGGGAAACCGGACCCCCCTCACACACAACTCCTCCCTCCCTTTCTCCCGAGCTGCTGATTTAACTGGAACCTCAGCTGCTGCCATCACCAGGATACCATTTCGTGCATGTGAGAACCTGGGGAAAACCATACTCTCTCCCTCCCACACACCTTCTCTCTCTCTCTGAGGCTGCCATTACCTCCTGGGGAGGCTCAGGGCTTGCATTGGCTACCCTCTGAAGCCACAGGGGAGTCGCTGTAGCCTCTCTGCCTTGACATGAGCCAACAGCCCCCCTGCTTGGTTGGAGTCATAACTACACCAGAGGGAAACTTGCTTAACAGATGGGAAAAGGCTGTCATTGGGTTTTCTTTTTTTTCTTGCTGTTGTTTGTTTTGTCTTGTTTATATATATATATATATATAGTCTAGTAAAGAACTGTTATTCCTTTTCCCATATCTTTGCCTGGAAGCCCTGTAACTTCAAAGTCATAATAATTTAGAGGGAGAGGGTCATCTTTCCATTCCATGGGGGCTTCCTGCCTTCATTGGCAGACATCTGTCTTTTAAACCAGGACAATGTGCTACTGAAATATCTCTTTACCATCAGGTAACTTTTTCCCATGCAGGGACCTAACCATAGACAAAGCAGCTCTTAACCTTCTCTAACATGTAGTTAATGGCTTACCTTGAAGGCAGATTTTCTAGACAACGAATCATTTGTCTGGCTCATTTTGAAAACTTTCAGCTACTTCTGGGTTCCCTCTCATTCAAATTCATTCAAATTTATTTTATTTTTAAAAATCCCAAGCTTCTGAGAGGCTTGAGTCCTCAGGCTTTCAAAATGTTCTATGTGAAACAGTCCCCTGCATGTTGGGGAAGTAACAGAAACTTTAATGGCAAGTATTTTTAATCATATATCCCAAATTAAATAGTGGTTATCCCAAATAGTGGGGTTTTCTTTTTAATTGTAGCCTTGACATTTTGGAAAAAAATACAAAAATAAGTTGAACATTTGAAATTATGCACATATCAAGGTTAATTAATTACATTCCTTACATTTCTAAGGACAATCAATCAGAATTTACAGGCCTATTTAACAACTGGAATGCTAATTGACAAAAAAAATCACACCCCCATCAGTTTGAATGTGTGATCAGTCATACATTTCTTC